ATAGAGTTTTGTTAAGGAGTCTGGTAAAGTTGGTAGGCTATTTATTTGAGTATTACTACAATCGAGTTCCGTTAAGAAGGTTGGTAAATTTGGTAGGCTTATTATTGGAGTTTGATAGCAATAGAGTTCCGTTAAGGAGTTTGATAAAGTTGGTAGGCTTGTTATTGAAGTTTTATAGCAATAGAGTTTTGTTAAAGAGTCTGGTAAAGTTGGTAGGCTATTTATTTGAGTATTACTACACTTGAGTATTGTTAAAGAGTTGGGTAAGGTTGGTAGGCTTGTTATTGGAGTTTGATAGCAATAGAGTTCCGTTAAGGAGTTTGGTAAAGTTGGTAGGCTATTTATTTGTGTATTACGACAACTGAGTATTGTTAAGGAGTTTGGTAAGGTTGGTAGGCTATTTATTTGAGTATCACTACAATCGAGTTCCGTTAAGAAGGTTGGTAAATTTGTTAGGCTTTTTATTGGAGTTTTATAGCAATAGAGTATTTTTAAGGAGTTTGGTAAGGTTGGTAGGCTATTTATTTGAGTATCACTACACTTGAGTTTTGTTAAGGAGTCTGGTAAAGTTGGTAGGCTATTTATTTTAGTTTCATGACAAAGAAGTTTTGTTAAGGAGTCTGGTAAAGTTGGTAGGCTATTTATTTGAGTTTCATGACAAAGAAGTTTTGTTAAGGAGTCGGGTAAATTTGGTAAGCTATTTATTTGTGTATTATGACAATTTAGTATTGTTAAGGAGTTTGGTAAGGTTGGTAGGCTTGTTATTGGAGTTTTATAGCAATAGAGTTCCGTTAAGGAGTTGGGTAACGTTGGTAAGCTGGTTATCTGAGTATTATTACAGTTGAGCACTTTTAATTTTCGATATTTTTGTAATCCTCCTAAGGCGTTTAATATATCCTTGTTAAATTCCGTAATCGTTAATCTATCAATAGAATCATCGTAAATAATTTTTGATGTTTCATTATACGATTCTAATTCTTCTACATTCATTTGATTAAAATTTTCGATCAATCGAGATAAGTCTCCATGTAATGAATTATTCAAACTAAAAAAAATTTGTTGTCCTGATGATTGAAGGTTTGATTCTTTATTATCTTTATTACTAATTTGATCATTCTCTATTAAATTTTCTTTTGTAAAAATAATTCCATTTAATTTATCAACTACTTTGTTCATAGTCGGACGATTGGCCGGCTCGTCGTCCCAGCACTCTAAATCCAAATAACAATTTAATGATCGAAAACATTTTTTTTTAAATTTAAATTTATAATAAAATATTACCTGTAAAAATGTTAACAAAATCTTCAGGAGTACCAGGAATGATACTTTCTCTGAGTCCGTCTGAAATTTTCATAGCTAAATCAAGGTCGTATCGTTCACCTTCAAAAGGAAGGCGACCACTAGATATCTCCCAAAACAGCACGCCAACACTGTAAACGTCACTTTTCTCGGTTAGCGAATCTTGTTGCGATGTACTGTCACTTGCTTTTCGACTACCCAATCTTTTTGGATCAATATAAGGAATTACACCAAAGACTTTTGACTGTTGTTTAGTTACCGCTTCAATTCTTTTCGATAAACCAAAATCAGCAAGTTTAATTATACCTTGACGAACTAATATATTGCCGGAATGCTATTGTATGTAAAATTAAATTTTTAATTATTAACAGCAATAATAAACAACATAAGATATATATTATGAAGATTACCAAATCACGATGTACAATTCCTTCTTCGTGTAAACATGACACAGCGCTAGCCAACTGGAATGCAAGGTTGTATTTATCATCCCAAGTAAGCTTATCAAAATTATCTTTCAAATAGTTTCCAAGTGCACCGCCATCGGCATATTCCATTACTAACCAATACTTTTTCAATTGAACAATTTGATTTTCTAAGTTTTTTTTTTTTTTATTTTTTAAATATTTATAAAAGAGTTAAAATAGAAATAAAAAATGTCGATACAATATATATATTTATAAACTCTATTATGAATAGTACATACTTTGTTTTGAAGTTATCCCATAAAATCGAATAATATTATCATGAAAATCAACTTCACGTTGAAGTTCGAGCTAAATTATAACAAATATAAATTTTAGCTTGATTTTATACTAAATAGATTGAAATAGACTGAAATATATTTTGTAATTACCTCACGAACAATTTCTTTAACAGTGGCGTTGCTAAAATTGCGAAACGATTTTAACGCGAGAGGTTGAATTGAATTTTTCCAATTTGCACGATATACTTTTCCAAAGCCGCCAGTACCTATCATTTGAACATTGCTAAAATGTTTGTATTCATAGTATTTAATATGTTTTCTTGAGATTGCATCTTCAATCCAATTAGCAGACTCATTCGAATTATTGGCATCTTGCATTTTGATTTTTTAATTATAGTAGAAATAATAAAAAATTCTTGGAGAAAAAGCAAAAAAAAAATGAATGTAATGTAACGTTAGTCAAGTTGGTCAATAAACCGGTGTAACAGTTAAATTTTTTTTTTTTGTATCTTCTAAAAACCTAAATGTGTGCCGATTGGGTGACAAATATGTGTGACAAATATATATACCAACACCTAACCAAAAAAAATCAAGTCCCCTGAAAACAATTAAACGCGATTTCACGTGACTAGACGACACCATCCTAATATAGAAATAATCGCCGTAACTGTCACACATTTACTGTCCATGATTATTTTTTTGGGCGGGATTTCGATGGCTGAAGAAAAAAAATTCAGGTCGTTAACTGAAACCGGTTTTAGTACTAGACTGGTTATATATAGAAGAGATTCGTACTGCGGTACGATCTGCAAGATTACCAGAATTTTATTTCAAATAAAAAAGAAAAAAAAAAAAAAAATATTATTTAATACAAAACAATAATTTATTTTAATATGATCTTGTCTTTCAATAAAAAATGATTATTATTTTTTTATTGAAATAAAAAGGATATCAATAATCAATTTTTTTTAACCGGTTAAAATTTAAATTTTTATAATAATTCACCTCAATATTGTTACAATTGAATGTAATTCCAGCATGAAAATCGCTTTCGATATTTACAGTTAGTCCTTTGATGATCATTTGCCAAGATGTCAAGATGCCAGAAAATGTTCAAAACGCCAGGTTGGCCTAATTAGTTTTTTTATATATACGAGCTGGAAATCCTTAAACAGCTCAATATCCACGCTCGCACTTGTGATATTTCTTTGAATACATTCCCTTCGAAATCCCTCATTTTACACCTCCGTGATATTTTTCGCTTTGGCCGTTTTAACTTTTAATTTCGCATATGTAACTTCGTTTATTAATTTTTATTTTTAATTTCCGATTTAATTAGGATTTATTATTCAATGTTTATGTAATTGTTTTACGCATTTTAAATTATTACTTGGCATTTATATAGTTTAAAATATTGATCAAACGAAAGGTAAAGCGCCGACTACGTTGATGCAACACTGATAAATTTGATAATATTAAATAAATATTTTGTCATTATTACTTCATTTTTATTCATTCAATACCTTCTGCTTACAATGCAAATTGTTTATAAATACATAAACGAAAGAACTGAATACAACAATATCAATGTCTACGAATGAATCATACCGTACCGTAATTAGTCCTATAATAAAAGCTCTATGTATACTACCGGTACGAAATTACAGAATAAGTCCGTATCGTTCAAATTTCGCGAAATTTTCTGATCTGCATACCGGTTTTCTATCTACCCCGAATCGATTAATCGATATCTATTTTTTAGTGGAATGGTAATTGCTGATTTAATATAATAAGATTTGAGAAAAATAATAGCACGAAATGGTCAAAAAAATTTCGAAAAGCTAAAAGCGATAATGAAGGAACTTAAAAGTAAAAAAAAAAAAATAAAACAAACGGAAAAATAAAAAATTCCAAAATTAGCGGGCAAATTAGTTGCTCTGATAACCTGCTCGTATTATTTTTTTCAAATCGAAAAAAAATTATTTTATAGTTAAATTTATTTAAACAAGCATGTGAAATATATATAACAATATGTAAAGCATTTGTCCAGTCTTATTTTATGTATTAGAATTACCAATATTATCATAAATTTGAATTTATTTTGATGAATAATAATTTTTTTAACAATTAATTTTTAATTGTCAAATTAAAAATATTTAACGTTCAAACTTCAAACTTGACATTTATTAAATCGAAGCATCCGATTCTATAAAAGATGTCGGAGTAAAGGAAACGTTTACACCATGCTTACTTGACATACTTGATAAATTTAAAAACAAAGGAATAACAGATTGAGTTTGATTATAGTAAACATACCAATCCGCGTTATTTCAACACCCTATGATTTGCTTTTAGAGATCTTTTTTTTTTTAAAAAAAAAAAGACCTTAAAGCGAACATTGTATTTTCATAAAATAAGACATCTATAACAAAAACAATATTCATTTAATTTTCTGACCAATAAAGATACATTATACCAAATTTTATGATAATAATTAGGGAACGGTTTCGGAAACCGTTGTCAAATCCGGAGCATAAGTGTAACGGAAGGGACCAACCACGTATCGACCTAAATTTTAAGCGGGCGGACAGATGGACAATTTTCATACTATCGCTCATACATAGATAGTCCTTCGCTTTCGCTCCGGACTAATAAAAATTAAATGACAAATCAAATACGGAAAACTACAAATTGAAAGTTTGTAATCGATGTAATTAAACCTATATTGATAAGGTGTTTTCACACCTTTTATTTATGTATTGTAATAATATTTGTAAAAATCAATTTGACATTAGTGGAAAGGATAGCGTGTGGTTTCATTGTAACGGGTTGATTGTCAATAAATAAAAAGAGGAAATCTAAATTCAAGTCAAGTTCTGGTTTCTAATGTAAATACTATTATTAAAAAGAATCTTTTTTCAACAATCATTTCTTGATTCATTTCGATTACAGTTCTGTTTGCTAATTAAAACTATTTTTCGTACATATATTATCGTTATTCGGCTCTATAAGTTGTGGAGCTAAGAACACAATTAAATACTTTATACAAATTATATTGAGTGGAAGCTGAAGGTAGGGTGGTTGGTGAAAGAATCTATAGATGACATTCGTAATTCTGTTAAAATCGATGCAAAAATATTTATCAGTCAACGCTTCAATTCTACCGTGGATTAATTATGAATAAAAGAATGGAATTCATATGGTTTAGCTTGGTACGATTAATTAGATGAAGTTAATTAAAAAGTATATGAATTAATAAAAGTATCTTTTACGCCAATCAAATATATCCAACTCTCAACTTTTCAATGACTTCAACTTCTAGATATTTGATAAAGAAATAGTTGGATTCGTTATTAAGTTAAATTTGAAGTTATACACTGTAAATTATAAAAAACAATTGACATGTATATATATATTATGTGTCATATAACTTATTAACGTGCAGCCAAGTTTCAAATGAATAAATACATATCATTTTCATAATAAATCTTGAGTATACATTGATGATACGTGAAAAGTTTATTTTTAACTACACCAAAAACTTCAATCAATAATTTATCTGAGTAATCAAATAAATAATTATATGATAAAATTCTTTGTAAATATAATTGTCAATTTACAAATTTGTTTGAAGGTTACTCTGTTAATTTTCATACAATTTATATCTTGATCATTTTCAAAAAAAAGATTAACTACTTGAATTTGATAACTATTTCTCACTTCTTAATCCATAACCAATCGTATGCTTACCTCCATAGATTTTGTTTGAGTGAACACTTACCAATACTACGAATGGTCCTGGTCCATAATTGTTATTGAATGTCACAAAATCAAATCCATCTCGATTTTTAAATGTCAATTTAAACTTATAGTTGTAACTAGATGAATGAACATTCGAATCATTTCTATCAATCCAATTAGCTTAAATAGTCACAAGTTCTGGCTTTGTCAATGCTGGGTTGATTGTTGATGATATTCGAGGTTTATAGTCATCATTTTCAACAATGTATTTTTATAATAATATTCCTTAATTTCTTCATGAATTTGTTTAGGGATAACGGCTTTATAAGGTCGGACTTGATCATAAGATTCAGCTCGAGAAATTTGCACCGAATAGGGGAATGAATTGACTTAACGTCTTCTTCATTGCTCCGTAATTCTCTTGATTCCATTTTTATCTATCACGTTCATATCCCAATCCAATTGTCTATTCAACACCTCACCTGATTAAACCATCCCAGATATGAATTTCTTTGTCTTCTAAATCATCTCTTTCAAGCAAGCCAATAAGGATACCTTTGTCTAAGACGAAATTTCGTTGATTCCAACTATTGCATTCTTAAATCAAGTAATCTAAGATATGTTCAAATATTTCCTCAAGGAGCAATTCATCAGATGCATTTAACAATCCATATACCTATCTGTTTGGCCAAATCCAGTTCACCTATGTAAATGTATATTTTTATAAAAACATTAATTTTACAAAATTATACATTTTCAAAAATAAAACGTAACGCACATGAGAATCATATCAAAAACATTTGGAGTGATATTTGATTACATGATTATATTATCCTTTTATGTAATCCAAATAGAAGAAGATCACGCGCTTTAGATTCTTTTGTATTTTGATTTCACCTGCTTGGATGATAACATTATAATCATTGAAGTCAGTTAATTTCAAAGAGATCTTTTAAAAGACCAAAATGACAATTAGTCATTTTGAAAATTATTTTTTTTTGATATCAGCCTAAGCATTTGTATCACTCGATTCATTGTTGTACAAATTTAAATTATGCATGAAAAAAATTTTTTATATAAAGCTGCAATTTTACATGGTTGCTTAAAATTTTAGAAATTAAATTAATCTATGTTCCTAACGTTGGACATGATTTTTATTTATTATTACGGTTTGTGAATCAATTCGAAAATGTAGCTCATTATAGGGATTTTTCTACAAAATAATCATTCTTTTTGATGCTTGACGTGTAGGGTCTCTTTGCATTTTATGTTTATCATTGACAACGAAAATATGGATTATTTATTTAAATATGAGGGTCATTGTTTATCTAATGAATGTACATTGGGTTATCAAAAGTCACCGGGCACTTAAAAATTAGAAAATCGACGAAAGAAGCTATTTCAAATTAAACTTTTATTTTATTAATTAAATCATTTTTGGTGCAAGAAGTTAAGTTGTGCATCATAACGAAATACATATATATTAAAATTTTATAATATCCAAACGGTAACAAATTTTATATTCATGTAACATTTTCATGTATTAATACAAGTTCTCAGTTATAATTAAACATAAAATATTTTAGTAGTAATCTATTTTCATAAAATGTTCACCCATATTTGTCAACATTTGTCACACCTTCCGCATTTCCATTTTTCATAAGTATTCCGGGGACAGAGAAATTTTTTTTAAGTGGTGGAACATTTTTTTCACGCCCCTTATGTCATCAGTCCAATGAGGCTAAATTTTTTACTTGTAAATCTGATAATATCGATTCGATCTCCATAAAATGCAAATCATTTGATTTTTTTTAACTTTTTTTTTTTTTTTACAAATTGCCAACATTTTCTCTGGAAAAAACTTTTCTCGTCAAAACAGAGGCAATGATATTTGATGTTTTAATAACTGATGTTCATTAAGAAATTTCCAAAAAATTTAAAATCAAATTCCAATATTTATCAAATATTCTTTATACGGAATTGAAATTAGTAAAAGAGGTAATTTGATGTTTGTCTCTATACCAGTGAAAATTATGCAAAACGTGAAGAACATACATTTTCTTCTCGACATTGGTTCTCCAACAACTTTTTTTTGTGAGGAGGCTTTAATTCATTTGGAATAATTCTTCTCATCCAGTGCTCATCACCTCTTGGTTCACATTTCCAAGAAGTTAATCTTCTTGGGACAGAATAACTTAATATGGGAGGTTTGCTATTAAAATCGAGTTTACAAACATAGTAAATCATATGATCCGTAACGTGATTTTAATAGCTTACTTCCCATATCTTTAATTATGTTTCTTTATTCATTTCAAAATCTTCCAATATTTTGAGATGATGATAGCATCGATAATGAAATTTTCCTAATTCAGCACTTTATTTAAAGTAATTACTTTGCTGAATTTTTTAAAATTGAGACCATATCGCGACCAAGTTGAAAATTTATTATAGATCTTATAACCAAGATCTGGTCACGATATGGTTTTACAACGTTACGATAATGCCAATCGAGTTATACAAATAAAGATGATGCGTATTAAGAAAATCGTCACCTAATTTAGCCGGGATCATATAAAAGTGGCATCGAAGCATATTAAATATGTAGCGAATTTATAGAAAACTGATAGTAAAGAAATAGTAAAATAGGTAGTAAATTTGTATTAAATGTTTATTTTCGAAGTCATAAATTAAATAAATCGTAAAGTGATCAATGAAATCTATTTAAGTTACATCAAAGTGTTCTATTATAATTCTAATCGCATAAAACAATAGAATTAAACTGAAAGTTCTAATCCTATAAATGAGAAGTGTTCTACAAATATAAATGCTCTATTAGTGAATTAAACAGCTTTAAAATAATTTAAATTTCGTATATACAAATTGTTTCTAGAATCATGACTGTTTCCGAAACACTCTTCATCTCTACAACTATGAACAAAATGTGTGAAATTATTTGCATTCACTAAACCAATAGAGAAAACTTTTCGCCAATTATTAGTATTTGACGTTTGTAACTTGTATACTGGACAATATAACCTTATTTGATTTAATTCCTCAAGCCAAACAGCAATAATGAATGCGAATTTAAGGTCATTCCTTTGATGACAGTATATATTACTCTTAAATTGCAAAATTATCCATTCCTCAATATTGATTGATATAATGTCCCCAACATAAACGGTATAGAACAGTATCGCCTTATTTTTCAAAATTGAACTTGCAAATTCAAAGAATGATAGCGTGTTGTTAATAATCACGGAATTGTCTCCAAAATCTTCATAAGCTTGTTTCAGTTCTGCATGAGCGTTATGCAATAGCAACATTTCAATGTTTCTTCAAAGAATATGCTTTTTTAACGATATATTATAAATTCGATCATCTGGTGAATAATCTTCAAATAATATTAGTCAGTAAATAATTAAATTCAATAAATATTTCAATTATTTTATAGTACCTTCACTCATGTCATCATCATTATCATTGACTTTATCTTTTGTAATAAACCAGTCACTCATCAAGCGTCGTAAATATTTTGGTAGATTAATAAATCCATTATTTGATTTAGATAACCTCAAATCTATGCCCCCATCTAACTAATGCCGTATTGAGAATATTGTAATATAATGCTTCAACTAATCTAATCTCACGTTTTTTAAATTCGTTCATGATACAATTTTCTTAAATATTTGATGTACCATTTCTTTTGTTCCAACGCTTGTATTCAGTAATGTCGCATAATTCTTTGCATGTAACAGTAAATGGAAGTTGGTATGTAGATTTGGCAAATTCTCAAAATCTTTAAATGCCTATTTGTAAAAGGATGAAATAATTAGCTATATAATAATAGATTAATAAAGTTAATAAAATCATAACAATTGAGTAAATAAATATATATATCGATAAACTTTTAAAGTATATGTTAATATTCTGCTTTAATTTCTTCAATTTTCATATTCTATTAGCTATTTAATGCTAGTCAGTATTCATCTAAATAATAATACCTTTGATAAGAGCTTTCGTTCATTATACAAACATTCACGTAATATATCATATTCTTCATTTGTAAAAGAATCTTTAAATACTATTGTCATCATTTTTACATTATGGAGTGAACTAAAACTAAAGAGCAATAAACGTTCTGTATATCCAAAAAATCTTTGTGAATTTGAAGAAATTTTGCAAGAGAATTCCATCTGAAACTTATAAAAATCTTATAGAAGCATGCCATGTAAAATCGAAGCGTATATTAAGAGCCAAGGATGGTCTACCAAATATTAATTATTGAATTATATCGAAAATCCCAAATAAATAAAATATTTTTTTAGCTGACTGGATACTTTCTGAGGGTAGTATATTTTTCACATATGACATATCTGCCAAATATGACATTTATAATTTATATCATTTCTATTATTATTATCATTATTATTATTTCTAACATATATATTATTTTTATTATTTTTAACAATTCTATCATTATTATTATTTATTTTTATATTTAACATAATTAGCATATCTGTAAGCTTGGTTATTATTATCAATAGTATTATTACTATCATAGATTTTCTTTAATTATAATTTTCTTATATAAAGGACATGAAAATGCCTTAGAAAAAGGATAGATTCCAACATTGTATTCAATATACTTTTAATAATAATAATAAACAACATTAATAATTTGCAAACATAAAACTTATAATTTTATTCTTATAACTAAACTAACTCCTTAACTAATATTATGTCAAGTTAATTGGATTTAAATCATAGTTAATATTTTCCTGACTTCAAATCATAATTAACTTATTTGACAAATAAAGTAATGTTAACAATTGGTAATTTCTGCTAAGATTCTATTAACTTTATATATAAGAGACTGCTAACAGATTTAACAAGATGTATAAAAGTTTGAGTTAAAAAGAAATTGAGAAACAGAATTAATTTTATACATAACAGACTATTAACAGATTTAGCGAGGTGTATAAATATTTGAGTTAAAGAGAAATTGAGAAACAGAATTGATTTAAGACTGCTAACAGATTTAGCAAAGTATATAAAATTTGAAGAATTTGAGCAATGAACTGCTCTTTCTAAGGAAAAATAAATTGAATGACTTATTAATTTACTAAAAGAACCAAGCAGATGAACTTGCAAGTTAAAGTATAAATCTGTAACTTTTTTTGAAATATTTTTGAATTATTTAAAATAATTTAATCAAATTAAAATATAAATTATTAATTAAAATATAAATTAAAAACAAATTACATGATATATGATGCAATATGGTATTATTTGATGAATTATCTAAAAAAGAAAATACAAAAGAAATTTTAAAAGAAGCAAATTCTATAATTGAATTAGAGTTTAACCCTTAAAAAGATCATGTAAAAGGAGAAGAATTTTCAGATAAATTGGAAAAAAAAGATAACCTAAC